CTTGAACTTACTATGTGGCCCAAACTCATTAATCCTCCTGCCTCAGCCTCCCAAGTTCTGGGATTACAGGTGTGTGCCACCTTGCCTGGCTGAAATTTTTAAAGTGATTTGCCAGAGGAAGAGAGTCCACACCAAATGTAGCCATGTTACACAGGATATTCTGGCCCCAAAAGGGCAAATGCCCTCTTCCAGAGCACCTGGTGACTGTTGGTTCTTCCTGGTGACCTAGAGGTCCTGGTCAGTCCCTTCAAGCAGGTGTTTGTCTCCACTTATTCCCAGGCTCTGTTCCCCTCACACAGATGTCACACAGGTTCCTGGCCTCCCTCTCCCCAAACCCTAAGCCATGCCCTCACCTGGCTGCAGGACCCTCACAGGGCTCTCTGTTCCATTTGTGGCTGGGCCAGGGTCTGAGAGGCCAGGGTTGAGGGACTTGGGGGTTTCTGGGGCCCCCACTGCTCCTCTCACCCGCTGTGGGAAGATGGGGTCTGCTCCATTCATCACTGCTGTCTCTAAAATAACAAAAAGGAGTCACTACTTTGCCTGACCCCAAATCTACTCCCTTAGGAAGGAGACATGGTCAACCTCATTTTTCAGAATGAGAGCACCCAGCTGCCCGGCTTAGTACCCCACTGATGCCCACCTGGCTTCAGCTGCCCATCCAGAGCCTCTGAGGCTGCAGCACTTGTGGGCTGGGGTCCTTGGGAACCCTTGACTTCAGGAAGGTCCACCTGCTTGGGCCGAGGGCCTGGGGACCTGATGTCCCAGGTGTCCCCAGCACCAACCTTAGGGGGCTCAGGTGGCAGCTCCACTGTAGGAGGTAGGCTTCTGGCCAATGCCAGGTCTGGCTGGGCCCTGGGGTCAGTGGGGGAGACTACGCTGCCATCAGGGGCCACTGGGGCCTCCAGGGTAGAGTGGGGGCCTTCAGCTGCCTCCTGGAAGTCACCCTTATGCCTGTCCTTTCCTCCCATCACTGGCTCCATGACTGTGCTTGCGTGGGGCAGGAGAGTATGGTAAAAGTCCTGGGGGGCCAAGGGAGAAGCCTGGGGGGCTCTGGTCTTGGGTGTGGCCTTGGGATCCCCATCTCTAGGTGGGTGCTGCCCTACTGGGCCTTGGAGCTCCTGGGGGACAGGAGGGACTGTGGCTGGCCTAACTTGAAGACTGGGAGGTGTGGGGGTGACCATGAGGTGGGGGGTGTCTGCTGGGAGGGGGGCAGGTGCATCTTGCTCCTGAGGCTCCTGAGTGTCTGGGAGTCCCATCCAGCCCCAGGAACTGGGCCCTTGAGCCAGCTGGAGGTCATCAGTCATGGGGAGCTGCACTCCCTGAGCCCCAGGGGATGCGTGGGGCCCAGGCAGGGCTGGGCCTAGGGGAGAGTCTGCAGGCCACTGGGGACCTGCGGCATGGACCTGGGGGATTTCGGAGTGCCTAGGGTTCCGCCACAGGAAGTCAGAGGCTTGGGGCTCGGAGTCCTTGGTGTGGGCTACTGGAATGTCTTTGAGGGGCCTGGAAAGACCCCTGCCCAGGGTGGAGCTGGCCCCCAGGGCCGGCAGCAGCAACAGCAGCAGGAGATGGCCCCACGGGTGGGGTGCCATGGTTCACTCCAGTGCCTAGTGTAGAGCCCGAAAGTGCCAGTCCTCACTGGATGAACCTAAAGACAGGAGAGAGGGGTGACAGGTGAGGGCTGGGGCTCCTGTGAGCTCCCTAAGGGGCGGGAGAAAGAAAGGAGAAAACAGCAGCTTCTCTGTTTTTTAAAGCCTCAAAACCTGCATCGCTGATCACTCCACTCGCACTGCTTCAAAGCTTCTGCTGCTCCCCACTGCCCCCAAGAGAGAGCACCCAGGTTGTGCAACTGTTCTTCGGCAGCCGCTGAGCTGTGGTCCCGGGTTGAGGCTCCAGCTGCCCTCAGCTCAGAATTCCTCTCTTCTCGCCTCCTTCACCTGCTGAATCCCTGTTTCTGAAGGCCCAGCTCTAGCAGAAGAGGTGGAGAGGAAGTGGGGTGGGCACCTGTCTCGGAAGAGAGGCCTGCACTAGAATCCCAGCCTGGCCATTTCCTGGGTGACTCACTTCACTTCTCTGTCATGGCTTGGTCATTTCACAAAGTGAGTGCCTACCTCAAGGGGCTTCTGGTGGGGCTTAACCGACAGAGGATGAAAGGGCCGGCCTAACTGGCTCCCCTTAGGGAGGATGACAGCCCCTCACTGTGCACTCTGTCCAGAGAGCTTCCCATCTCTGTGGTCACTGCTGCAACAAGGAAGTTGCACATGTACCGTATGAAAGGCGGGGGTTAGCAGTGGACAGGAGGGGCAGGACTGCCCTCGGGCACTCACATTCTAGTGATTTTACACAAGGTAAACTGTGAAGAAAATAAAGCCCCGTGAAGAGAGGCCACTTACACAGGACACACCCGGAAGTCCTCTCGGAGGGGGCATTTCAGCTAAATGCCCAACGTGAACGAGTGAGGAGTATGTAGAGCTGGGGGGAGTATTTGTCAGCAGGACGAGTGCAAAGCCCCTCAAGCAAGAAGGAGCTAAAGAGGATTTAAGAAACAAGAACATCCCGGTACCCACAAAAAAGAAAAAAAAAAAAAAGAAAGAGGAACAGAAGCTGCAAGCAGTGCTGCACACCTGTACTTCCATCACTCTGGGAGGCTGAGGCAAAAGAGGGTACTAAGTTTGAGCCCAGCTGGGCAATTTAGTGACATAGTGAGACCCTATCTCAAAAACTAAAAAACGCCGGGATGGAGCTCAGTGAGAAGACAAGGCCCTTCATTTAATCACCAGTACTGCAAAAAACAAAAAGAAAAAAGAGCAAAAGGAGAACACTCTGGGCACAGTGGCACACACCTGCAACCCCAGGACTCAGGTAGCTGGCAGAGGAGGATCAGAAGTTCAAGGCCAGCCTGGACAGCTTAGTGAGACCTCATCTAGAAAAATTAAAAAGGGTTGGGGACGTAGCTCACCACACCCCGGACTCAATCCCCATTACTGCTGGCTGGAGCAGAGCAAGCAAAGGACAAAATAGCAGAAGCTAAAATCAAGAAAGCAGGGCTTCACCAAAAGAGGACTCTCTGTGCAACAACCCTAGAAGTCACTGGAAATGGGATACGTGGGTGTTTTGGAAGGGAGGGAGGCCAGTGCACCTGTTCAGGTATCCTGGGCACTGCTCATCTCTGTGCTGCCCCCACCCACCCAGCACGGGACTCCTCCCCATCTCAGGCCTCTGGGTATCCATGGCCCTAAAGGCTGATGTGCCCTATGTGCCCTAAAGGTTTCTGTCCCTAAGTGGAGAGGGAGAAGTCCTCGCCCAAGCCACGACACAGAGGCTGTGTGGAAGCTGCTTTGGGTCCCAAGAGCTCCTGCCTCCTGACCCTCTGTGGGTCACAGACACCTTGGGAAACCGCAGGAAACTCCAGAATTCACTCCCAGGCAAGCACCAGGCTCACCAAAGCTTGTGGACAATTTCGTGGAGATTAAAGACGTCCTAGGCCCCAAACCTGGATTCAGGCTCTACCTTTGAGCTTAATTCATTTCTCAAACAAAGCTTTGCTCCACCCCTGGAGAGGCCTGGGCTCCAGGGTTGGGCCTGGGGACGAATGGCTGAGAGGGTGCGCAGAGACCCAACACGGACTGCACCCATTTCGAGTGGAGGAAACTGAGGTTCAGATGGGCTGATCCACTAGCCCAAGGTCACACAGCCGCCAGGTGACCACACTCCGGCTCTGAAGCCCACCGCGTCTGCTCCTGCATCGGGAAGCCAAGAAGCTTTGCAGGGAGGCGATGTTGCTCCGGGCCTTCGGAGCTAAGCGTGCCATTCCCCACGCCCGTGTCCGACCAGCTGGTCACTGCGGGCCAGCTGGGGCTCCCCAGGCCGGGCCGGGCCGCTGCTAGA